AGTTGTTGGGCCAACCCAGACCCAATTATAAGAGAGGGCTGTGGTGTTAATATTCTGTACCTTACGTCTTATTCAAGTGAATATGATGATCTTGCAAATATGTAACCGGTTTTACATTATGACAAGTCAAACAAAGCTAATACTTTGAAGATTTTTCGACTAAACAAACCATTTGAACACAACACCAATGGCAAATCTTCAAAGAAAAAGTGTAGTTTTAATATTTTAAACAAATCAGACTTTTAACTGTTTGCTAATGGTTCACTCAAAGTGCTGGTTCAGCAATGAAAAGTGCATATCTACTCCCTCAATTCATCATCCCCTCCCTCTACTGTGCTGCCTCTTGCCGAATCCTGCCACAACAGAACAGGTGTGGTAATGTGTTTGAGAGTTTATAGGCATACTTCCAAGTAGGGGTGAGTTTTGGATACATATCACCCTCTCCAAACCCTACTTTCTGGGGTTTTACTGGGATTGTCGTTCTTTTTTATGGAAGGGGGCATTCAAGTTTGGGTGCAATGAGATATTGAAAGTACTTACGTGCAGCCAGGTTGAGGTTTCAATGCCTTTGGTCCATTTCGTATCCCCCCTCTTGTGACGAGTAACCTGCTTTAGCAATTTGAAAAGGTTATGTAATGCTACTTTCAGCGTGTTCAAATTTAATTGTCATGTTAAGGAAGTTGTTAGAGGATGAAGCTTCTTTTTAGGGACGGCCATTAGTTCCATAGACCCATTGAAGAAAGTTATATCTTGGAATCTGTAAGCAATGTTCCCTTAAATCCTTTCCTGATTTGCAGATTGGGCCTTTATTGGCGCTATGGGATTGCCGAAGATGATGCTGTCCATTGGAATTGGTTGTGCAATGGCGTGAGCAAAGTTATGGAAGCCGGATGTGGGTCCTACGTTTTTTCCGTTGTCCCAGCAGCTCCATAGTGTGGCTACCCTGAACGCCATATCCCTACAGCTTGCACTTCAAGTCCACACTCTCTGCAAATAGGATGAACATCATTTCTTTAGTTAATTTGAGACTCAACAGGTGTGAAAGTGAAACATATATCGAAACACTCCCTTTGAACCATACTAAACTTTGCATTTTTTTCACGGAGTTTAACAGAAGTTGAAAAAAAGGTGAAAATGTACGCAGAGAAGAGAAAAATAATGTACAGTCAATGCTTTCCTTAAATAGAATGGGAACTTTATTTTAGGACAAACGAAAAAAGAAAGTAAGTTTTTTTTTGGGAGTATAAGCTAAACATAAACATCACTACAAAACAAAGATTCAAACTTTAGCCTCCTGGTTTTGAAGACCAGTCTTTAGAGAGTATGTAAATATCCAAAATGGACAGGCACACAGGCAACAATATGAAGCCTACTGCTGTTTTCTTAACCACAATGAATTCAAAACTAGATTGATGATTTGAGGCTCCAAAAAAACAAAAGATAGACCGAGTTTAATAACAAGAACACCATACCAGTAAAATCACACAAACGGGGTAGGGGATGGGAGTATGCATACCTTACTGCATGAAATTTTCACACCTCTTTGATCAACCTTGCCTAGCTAATCTCAGCATTAGAATGCGCAGACTACGAACAAACAACAGAGGGTTAGATTGATACACACAGCAAAGATATGAAACTTAGTGTATCCATCAACCATGCACGAGAGATATCGGATTTGGTGTATCCATCAATCATGCAAGGGAGATATCAAATTCAGTGGATCCATCAATAATTGGGAAAAAAGTTTGAAATTTGGGAAAAAGTAACAAACCTAATTGTTATTGTGTTGTGTTTAAATTTTAACGTGGTGGAACTCAACTACTATAAAATAAATTTTCTACTACGTTTCTTGACCTTTTGGCTAAGATCATCAAAAAGGTCTAAGGGATCCTGGTGAGACTGTTCCACAATGAAATGTTTTAGTCTACAAAAACATTATATATATATATATATATATATATATATATATATATATTATGTTTTTGTTCTTGGGTGATTGATTTGTTTTGTTCAAAGTTTCACATGGCGGATGTGAGCGATGAAGTTAGTGGTTATATAACAGCATCGAGAAGCTCGAGCTTAAATATTCGTCTTAGATTGTATTTCAATTGTTTGGAGCTTCGAATTATATAGATCTAAGAGGTAAAATTATTTCATAATTTAAAATAAAATAATATAATAGATAAAGTACATTTTTTTTGATATTTTAATTTTACTTAAAGAAAAATGCAAGTGTTAATATGAACTTAAAATTTGTTTAAAATCAAAGTCATAACCTGTAACCGAATGATAATGGTGATGAACATATAGTTCTCTACTTGAACCCGCATTGACCCGAACATGAAGTAGTCTGAACCCGAAGTAACCTGAAATTTTTAAAAATGAAGTCATAAGTTGTTGGGCCAACCCAGACCCAATTATAAGAGAGGGCTGTGGTGTTAATATTCCGTACCTTACGTCTTATTCAAGTGAATATGATGATCTTGCAAATATGTAACCTGTTTTACATTATGACAAGTCAAACAAAGCTAATACTTTGAAGATTTTTCGACTAAACAAACCATTTGACACAACACCAATGGCAAATCTTCAAAGAAAAAGTGTAGTTTTAATATTTTAAAAAAATCAGACTTTTAACTGTTTGCTAATGGTTCACTCAAAGTGCTGGTTCAGCAATGAAAAGTGCATATCTACTCCCTCATTTCATCATCCCCTCCCTCTACTGTGCTGCCTCTTGCCGAATCCCGCCACAACAGAACAAGTGTGGTAATGTGTTTGAGAGTTTATAGGCATACTTCCAAGTAGGGGTGAGTTTTGGATACATATCACCCTCTCCAAACCCTACTTTCGTGTGGTTTTACTGGGATTGTCGTTCTTTTTTATGGAAGGGGGCATTCAAGTTTGGGTGCAATGAGATATTGAAAGTACTTACGTGCAGCCAGGTTGAGGTTTCAATGCCTTTGGTCCATTTTGTATCCCCCCTCTTGTGACGAGTAACCTGTTATTCATTGGCAATAGCTATGGAGTAACTCTTGCGACGAGTAACTTGCTTTAGCAATTTGAAAAGGTTATGTAATG